TTTAACTGGCAATGTCAGAAATTATTGACCTGAGTCCCCCACAGCTCAACATAACAGCATGGCTTTACTTCCTATATTTCGTCTTCATACTTTCCTACTGGATGGATAAGACTGCAATTTAAGTTTTTAAAGGTTCAAATATAAAGGTTTACTAAGTGCTGCATACAACTAACACTAGCACGCTCCAAGAACTAAATCTGCTAATTGAAAAATACAAAGAATATTAGACCAGGATCATGAGAATAATAACCAAACAGGGCTTGCTTATTTTACTCATCTTTGTGTCTGTGTGAGACAGAAACACACAGACAGACAGACACACAGCAGAGGTATTAAATGAAGAGATGTTCAAATACTAGCAACATCCCCAGCCCATTTTTATTTCATACTTGGAGTTAGGGTCTCACTAAACTGCCCTGGCTGGTCTCAAACTTGTGATCTTCCTGCTTCAGCTGCCCAACCCAGATATTTCAATTGCTACAGATTTAATTCTGCATGTTCTACATTTAATTCGAAATGTATCTAAATAGCATGACTGCCAGCATACCAGATTATCTGCGGAGGACAAGGATTGCCTATCATCTGCTATGCCATTGGTTTGTGAGTTTTCATCAACTCCTGGGGGAACAGCACACTCCTGGCACTCTAGTCCACCTAGGAGCCTGCTGGGATCCGTCACACTGTGCTTTTCTGCTGCTTCTGAAAAAGTAAGTGCAAAAGTCATCGCCAGATCAGTATGTATCCCCAAAGGCTTCCTGACACCAGAAAGAAGTTATTCACACAGACCCTGCTACTGCTCTTCCCCTCCCCTCCCATTAGTTCAGGAGTGGAAGGCAAGCCAGCGCGGTCCTTACACTGTGCTCAGCAATGCACACGCCACTTCAGGGGGCTTAGGCATAGTGAATCCAGGCCAATGGTGCCTGCAGAATTGCACAATGCATCAGACCATCCACCCCCATCTACTTCTGAAAGGATTACGAGCAGCTAAATGTGAAAAGCAAAGGACTATTAATGTTAAGTCAGTGGTGGCAAACTGATAGAACCCATGTTATTTGTTTTTAAGACAAAAGATGATCATGTATAAATTGTTTTTTCTAAATGAAAACTTCAGTATTCCCATGTCTTTTCTTTTAAGTTTTTTGAGACAGGCTCCCACTATGGATATGCAGCTCAGGCTGCTCCTGAACTTGAAGCAGTCCTCAGCCTCCGCCTCCTGAGTGCTGGGAGTATGGTGCCACCTCTCCCAGCCTACTCTTCAGATTTCACTGCAGAGTTGGCACTTTCACATAAGAAGTGGCTTCTAGGTTGCAGTTTGGGCACTTGGTCTCTAAAAGTCTCACCATCACTGACATAAGAATTAGAGAAGAGACAGTTATGACAGAGAACCTTAATTACAGAGAAAAACAGACCTGAGCTTCCTGGCAGCCATGTGAAGAAAGAAAAAGATTTCATCATTTAATGAAAGAGAATATTTGATGATTAGCAGAACAATGAAACTCTGAGAAGAATTTACCATTTGGCTCTTTACATCCTTTTAGGGACAATTCAATAAAGCACACATTCATTCAACAAATATTTATCAAGTGCCAGTTATATGACTGGGTGTGGCACAGGTTAGAGGATATAGCAACGAACAAGACAGACAAACATTGATTATATGATAAATCCAGACTCCAGACACAAATCCAATCATATAAAGTAAGATTATGCAAAAAATTAAAATTATGCCTGGGTCTAGCTCTATAATTCAGGCTGGCCTTAATTCATACATAGCTCAGCTGTCCTCGAACTTGTGGTGATAACCCTGCCTCAGCCTCCTGAGTATGCTCTTTTAAAGGCAGTTCTACAATGAGTTAAATAACATAGCTTACAGCTTTGTGGTAGCCTAATTTAGCAAAAAGATAGGGTTCTGGAAAATGGCTTTAAGATCATGACCCAGGGCTGGGGTATAGCTCAGTGGTAAAGTGCTGGGTTCCATCAGACGCTGGGGAAGTGAGGGGGATCATGACCACAGGAGAAAATTAATATTTAAAATCATGTCCCAGTACAGACACATACTTCATGAAATTGAAAAATATATTTTAAGTGTGGTAATGAAGATTGAGCCCAGAAACACTCTACCATTGAGTTACATTCCCAGTCTTGGTTTTTTAAAATTTTATTTATTTAT